GGTCTGTGACAAATCCTGGTCACCCTGCTCTGCAGCTCTCCACGCCCGGGGACGAGGCTGTCTTGGCCGGGTCTCCGTGCCGGGAGGTCGCTCTGTGCAGGAGGGACCCTGGCATTGTGTCCTGCCTGCCGGTTCCCCGGAGCGTGCTGGGATGTGCGGTGCGTCCAGGCAAAGGTTTGCTTTGCCTGGCTGGTTAAGGTCTCGGCGAGGTGCTGAAGAGTTCGGCAAAGTGCAGTAAGAGGCTGGCTTGGTGCTTTGGTAGCTTGAAGTCCTTTCTGGAAAACTGACCTATTTGTTAATGATTCTTCCTGGGCCCCAGGAGATCTTTTCCTCGTCCCTGTTCAGAGAGGAGGCACTAAAGTGATGTTACTGTGAGTAGTGAAATTTCAGGGTCAATGGGGAAGGAAACTGATGGGGTTTATAGTCCTCCTTTAGTTATGCTGTGGTCTGAACAAGTTGATTAACTTCTTAGTATTTAACTGTCTCTTTCTTGAGTAAGGCGGAAGCTGTCCACATTTCAGGGATTGCTGTGCAGCTTACTTTGTTGTCTGTCATGTGCTGAGAGGGGCCCCAGGTCACTCTGAGAAGCATAACATACTCACTTTGTAAGATACCAGGCTAAAGAACTTGGCTTAAAGTGCCAGAGCATTGAGTTGAACTATGAAGTTGGGCTACATAGCAAGATGGAACAGTGTTTCTCATTCTCCATAGGGAGAAAGGTACCCAGTCAGAGGCAATGGAAGGGTTGATAGTCAGGGAAAAGTAAGTGGCCTTTGCACCAGTCACGGACATTTCTGCTCAAGACCTGTTGGAGACTGGTTTCTGAATTACAGGTTGTAGTTTGTTGGAAGTGAATAGTAAGTGAAGTGCATAAATCGTTGGTACTGACATAAACAGCGAGTCAGAATGTACATTTCTGTAATCGATTTTCTCATAAATAAGCAGCATATCCAAGGAAAAATAAGAACAACTGGGCATGTGTGTCTTATGTCAGGGTGCTCAGGGAGCTGAAGAACAGGACAGCCCTGAAATGGAACACAGGGTGACCAGAAATGGTTCATGCAGTGAACACCTTCAGATGTCTCTTGCTGACTGGTATTGATCATCTCATGTTGTGCTGCTGATTAGCATTTCTGTGGCAAAACCAGCACTAGGAAAGAAAATGCAATAAGTGGACTTCTGGCCTTGTGATTTAGCAATTGAGAAAGCAAATCTGTTCCATAGGAAGTTTTCTGGTGATCATTTAATAGCTCTGTAATTACAGTTTAGTGGTCTGTAAGAAATATTTTAGCGCTGGACACTTCTCTGGTAACACCTGACAAATTGAGGGAGTGGAAGTGAGAATTTTCTTTACTTGAAGTTTGAATTTTGCAATGGTTACTTTAAAATAAAACAGCTGTTCTCAGATAATGACATAACCATCACTGAATAACCCTGTATAAACAAATCTGTTACAGGAATAAGCTTAATTAAGGGATGAGACAGGAACTTTATTTTCTTTCCCTTCTATCTGCAGTAACCTACAAATTGCAGGGAAGAGAGAAAAAAGAGCAAGATGAGTGAATAAGGGGTAGGGCACCTGAAATGGTACCCAAAATATTGTGTATTTTCTTCATAGCATACAGTTGGATTTGCCTTGTTTTCTTAAATGGTCTTTATTGCCAGCAGAATGCCACCCATGTTATAATGTTAAGCAGTGTTTCTGATCATCAGTGCGAAACATCAGGTACTCTATAATCTACTTTTTTTTAGGTATGTTTTGGTCGGGGCAAGTAACAACTGCCTTGCACTTGCTCTGCTCCACAGTAGAAGAAGGACCATTATCTATTCGATTTTACATTCCCTTAACCTTTATGCACACAGTGATATTCAGTACTTCAGGTGCAGATTAACAAGAACATCATTCAGTTTAAAACTCACACCAAACTGTTGACAGCCGTCTTGGGGAGAAAATGTCACTAGCAGGGGCACAGTTCAGAACACACAGGACCTCTTTCCTTTGACACATGGGGAGCAAGCAGGCGTTGCTAGCCCTTGTGCTTTGTTAAGCTTCTCAGTAATGACTCTCCATGGTGCTCTGTGGAATTCCTCTGCTAATGCAGCGAATTTGCAGTTGATGATTGCTGCTGCCTTTTGTCAGCTCACGGGGACCAAATAAGAAGTCCTGTGAGGGCACAAACTCTCAACTGCTCTTTTTCTGGCTGGTTGTTTTATTTCTGAGCAGGATTTTGTGCGTGCTTAATCAAACTCTGAGGTGATACTAGGAGGAATTAATCAGCAGCTTTACATTAAAACGATTATATGAAGGAACTCTGAATACAAATAAATCAGAGGAATGTGGAAGCTGAGTCCAACCAGGGCTGTTGTTGTAGATGTCCCTTTCTTGACACAATGAGAAATGATGAGTTTTAACAGTGTTTTTGACAAGAGGAGATTTGTGTCAGGAAGCTCTTTTGATTATTGAAGTCATTAGTGCATGGTTTGTGTGAAGGACTGAACCTAATTTCTGACCCATGTACCTACCAGAAGGTGTCACATTGATAACTGCTAGAATGTCAAGGAGGAACTTTTCAGTTGCTTATTAAAATATCTGTGAAACACCCCATAAAATTTTTAGAAGATAATTAGATTACAAGACAGCACCAGAAAGCTAGTGAATGTCTGGATTAGATTTCCTAGTTTGGGAACTGGCCACAGCTTGACTTCTTTGTTGGATTTCTTTGTCTAAGCAGTTGAGCTTTGTAGTGGTGATTGAATTATATACAGGGCTAGTCAAGCCAAGTACATATGTAGCTGTGTCGTTCATGTTCCTGTGAAATGAACCCCTGTGCTGGGGTTCTGGAACTTGATTGCAGCAGTGGGGAATCTCTGCTGCTGGTGTTAACGGGAGCTGTGCTTTGGCCATACAAAATGCAATAGGATTTAGGGTACAGCAGTTACTCCAAATTTGAAACATTTGAAATTGGGCACTCAAAATCAGTGACTTTTTCTTTTTTTTTTATAAGGCTTAAGCTTTGGTATCATAGCTACAAGTTTATGTACATTGGTATCTTCCTACCAGCACAGTTTGAAAATACATTAATATTAGTAAAGCTTTTACATTTTTTACAGGCCGGTCTTTCAGAAAATGTCAAGAAGAAATGAAATCTGTCTCCAGAGCAGTTTCTTCATTGTTCAAACCATGAGCAGTAGGCTAAGTCCTAGGTCAGTAAGTTGATCAATGGGAAAAGAGCAGAAAGTTCAGTAGCAGCTGTGTGTTGTTGATTCCTTGCACTGAATAATGTGAACAGCTTGTAGAAACTGTGCCTGTGAAGACTGTGAGATGTATGGGATGCTGGTTAAACACTGTGCAGGTGGCATCAGTTTTGTCACTTTCTAGATTTTTAAGGTTCTCTGGCAGTTCTTGGAAGCAGTGTGTATGTAAGCTGCAAAAATAGCAGGTAAGGTAGTAGATGCATACCTGCTGATACAAGTGATCAGCCTGTTCCCTTGGAGAGAACTAAACTGTGTGTGTAAATTTGTATGTATTTTGCTTTGTTATGTAAGAAAACATTTTAACAGACTGCTTCAAAGGACATACCAGATAAAATGTTGCTAATGGTATCAGTAGAAATAGTTTAGTGGGTGTATCACTGTCAAGGAGAAGGAGCAATGTTAACACTTTGTGGTGGTATTTTTTTTAATCCCCATTGTTTCATTTTGTCCTTTGAATAGTAGCAAACTGGGCAAAAAAATATATGACTAAGCAAATGGATTTGGTTTTCCTTCCTATTTGTGGTTGTCTCAACTTGTACCCTTTGTATAGGCTGTTTATGAAAAGCATTAATAGATTGTGGGACAAACTGAAATATATTGCTTTGTTCCTATAGTGGAAATTATTTGACTTTGTGCATTAGTTCAAATTTGGGATATAAAGTCTTTGTCACCTATCCTTCTCTTTTTTTTGTCTTATACTTTGTTTAGTACATATAATCCCTTGTAATTTAAGTGTCCCAAGTAGCTACAGAGTCAGCCTCCTCTTTGAATTCTCTCCTTTTAGCTAATATTCTTTGAACTTGAGCTTCTTTTCAGCATCAAAGAGTTGAGGGTGTGGAAGGCACAACTAGCTCGAGTTTTATTTTATCTTAAGTCTTTGCATCAGGTACCATGGAGAGAATTAAGGCATGAAGCAGTTCCTTGTGCCTGACACTGTGCTGGGCTGAGTGGTGAGCTGTGGCAGCTCTGGGACACACTGCATGGCTAGCGGTAGTGGATGTCCAGAGTGACAGTGTGTCAGCAGCGAGCAGTGTCACCCGAGCTCCCTGTGAGCTGTACTGGGGTCCTGGTGCTTGTGAAACCGCTCGTTGTACTCAGTAGGACAGATTGAGTCTCTGTATGCTGCGAGGTGGATTCATGCGAGGACAACGCTGGTTTGAAGTCCTGCAGCTCTCCCTTCAGCCACTTTGTGAAATTGCAGCCCTGTCGTTTGGTATCCTGGCACCACGGAATCCAAACAAAGGCTGCAACACCTCGAGTGTCAGTGGAAGGGATGATAAACTTAGGATGTGGTTGGCTTCAGAGGCTTGCCCCACTGCAGGGTGTTGCTGTCTGCCTTCCCTACTTTTTCCTACCTTCCAGAAAGAGCATTGCGAGCTCCTCTGTGCAGTTGAATAGCCACGTGCTCCAGATACCAAACAGTGTCTTTGCAATCCACATGAACTCTGTCGAGGGATGCCCTACTGGCCTTCAGTGAGGTGACTCCTCTGTGTGCTTTGTAGCACTTCCTGCAGGTGCTGAACTTTCAAATTCATGATGGAGTGTCTGGCTCTTGAAGAGCAGAACCTTCTCCCTTGAGAAGGACATTAAGTGGCATTTTTCCAAGGAAGTGGCTTAACAGTCTTTTCTCTCAGCATGCAAGTTGCTGATACTTGTTCTCTTGACAGGCTGCTGATACACTTGCTGTGAGGCAGAAGAGAAGGATCTATGATATCACCAATGTTCTGGAAGGGATTGATCTCATTGAGAAGAAGTCAAAAAACAGCATTCAGTGGAAGTAAGCCATGTCAATTCTGCATATTTTCACACGCTCGAGAGCAACAAAAATTGCCACTTTCCACTTCTCTTCACTACATATGGCACCATAAAATTAACATTATGCTCATTGATGAGCAATATGACATTTTAGAATAACAGTGGAGTTGCAAATGAACTGTATTTGTCTTCCCTTCAACTTGCGCCCTTGATACATAAAATCAGGTTTAACACATACAGGAGAGAAACTTTAAGAATACTTGTGGTGCTACTTTATAACTAGCAGTTTTAGTTGAAAAATTGATTCTGAATGAATCTGGGAGGGGTATTGGGACACACTGTCTCCACATTCGTACCCTCCAGTAGTCCATGCCTATTTTACCTTGGGTTTCTGAAGGTGGAAGCTCAAGTGAAGAGTTAGAGGGGAAGGAGAAAGGGCCTGCAAACCTGCTCAAACACTGCAAAAAAACCCCTGCATTCCAAAAGAAAACAAATTTCCATAGATGGGAATTCTAAATTTTATCTGAAGTTAAGAATTTTTATTTTACTGTTAAAACACTACTGGGAGGGTAAATGCTCATTTCCTTCATATTGAATATTACTAGATTTTTAAAGCACTAAAAATAATATTAAGACATTATCACTGTGTGTTTGCTTTGGATTTTTGCTTGTAGTTTCATGAAGTCTTTTACCTTTTTAAGAGGAGTAGGTGCTGGCTGCAACACAAAAGAAGTCATAGACAGGCTGAGGTATCTGGAAGCTGAAATTGAAGATCTAGAGCTCAAAGAAAAAGAATTGGATCAGCAAAAACTGTGGCTTCAGCAAAGTATCAAGAACGTCATGGATGATTCTACAAACCACCAATATCCTTTTAAATTAATTTTATTGATCTTGGAACTAGAATTAAAGCAACAGTTACAGTGTAGGTAATGGATAGAGCACTTTGTAGTCCATTTTATCCAGAAACAAGGTAATGCAAATATATTTTCAGGTTTTGCTTCAAAATGAAAGAAGATATAAGTCTTATTTACATGACTTTTTAACTTCTGTGACTGATTTGTAATGTGAAAATAATTTAGCATATGTATAAAAATATGGATGCAGCAATTTTTAAGTCTATAGTATAATCCTGCTGTCTTAATTTAAATGAATCATAATGCTTTCCAGCACTTGAGTTTTTACTTTGTTACCAGGGTTTTACCTGAATATTTTTTGTGTTCCTTCATTCTTACGAAAAGATAAAGCCATGACCCAAAGATAAATTGAGTTGGCAAAGTCCTGAAGCTTGTTGGATTTGAAACTGGGGGGAAAAAATGCTGCATATAAATACCCCATGAGCAGAGTTCCAGCTGCATTCTCGTTTAGCTGTCTTGCAAGATACTGAGCGAAATGGATGCCTGAGACTGGGAGCAGGAAAGTGCCCTTCTTATCTGTAGCACCAGTGATAAGGACTTCAAAATTATGGGAGTTGCTCTACAGAAACTGTTTCTGTAAAATGGATTTTGTAGCAAAGGAGATGGAAGTTAGGTGTTAGGAGAAGCCTTCCTTTGGGAGAGCTAGCACTGGAATTGACCCCCTAGGGAGGTGGTGGGGTGTCCATCACTGGGGGTTTCCCAGAAGAAGGGAGGCAATCTGTCTGGAATGTCTTAACAGTAGATCCTACCTTGAGGCAGGGGAATGGGAAGGCAGATGAACTCTGAAGTCCCCTCTGGCAGTACTTTTATGTAAGTCTGCAAAGTTCTGATATGTACTTGAATTCTGTAGTGTCAAGTTAGTGAGGTAAATGGTATTCTTCAAAACAAGATTTTACATGTTCTCCTTTTTCAGAAGAAATTTCTTCTCATTCAGGCTACATGGATTATTTTTTTCTATTTATATTTTCTTTGCAGATACAAATTTATTCTTTTCTTTATGAAATGGAACTCTGCTGGTTTTAACTAGCAATTCTGAAAGCCAAAAATAATGCCTTGATTACACCTCTGAGTAACAATAATAACTTTATAACTTAGGTTCAGTTTAGACAAACTTAAAGGACAACACCGGTTTTATGTTGCTTTAAGAAAAATGCTCCTTGACATAAAATTAAGTTTTCATATGTCACCCATGAAGATATCTGCAACTGCTTCAATGGTAAGTTGCTGCTAGACTTTTGTTCTAAAGTGAGGGATTTCCTGATCTTCCTCTTGAAAAATGACTTGCTAACTAACCTGCTTTTTCCCTGCAAGTATTTTGAAGTACTCAACAGTGATCAGTACTAGGTAGATGCCTCTCATAATGTTCATGAATACCAAGTTCTGGCATTTTCTAGTTGTAGTCACCAATTGTGCAGAATGGAAGCTTAGCTGGAGTACTGGTTTTGGATGCCTTTTTTGGTATTCCTACTTTGCATCAGCTTGCCTCAGGTCATTAGTGGAACCAGAAATAGGACATGGGGTTGTTTAGCCCAGAGAAGAGGAAGCTCAGGGGGGAACCTTATCACTCTCTACAACTGCCTGAAAGGAGGTTGTAGCCAGGTGGGGGTCAGTCTCTTCTCCCAGACAGCTAGCAAAAGTACAAGAGGACATAGCCTCAAGCCACGCCAGAGGGGGTTCAGATTGGACATGAGGAAGAAGTTCTTCACGGAAAGGGTGGTTAAGCATTGGAATGGCCTGCCCAGAGAGGTGGTGGAGTCACCATCCCTGGAGGTGGTCAAGAAATGACTGCACATGGCACTTAGTCCTGTGGTCTAGTTGACAAGATGGTGATTGGTCAAAGGTTGGACTCTGTGATCTTGGAGGCCTTTTCCAACCTTAATGATTCTGTGGAAAAAGAAACCAGTTAAATGTTTTCTTCTTACATTACATATACACCTAGAAGACCTGGGGACGCTAACTAACGGGTGGAAGAAATGGTAAACCTTGTACTGTTGTGTGGAAAGGTTCTTGCAACTATGATCTAAGTATTGGAATTCTGTGATTTATATTATGCAATATACTTGGATCTTATATGGACTATGCAAGTCCTATCAAAGGTTTATTTATGGTCAGTTATGCCATGTTTTAAGTGGCTTTAGAGAATTACCAAATCTCATTTGAGTGGATACCATGCAAGACTTAAGAAAAATGCACATACTTAACACTTTCCTAAAAATTGCTATTTAACCAGGAGATACACTTCTAGCAATTCAAGCACCTTGTGGTACACAGTTACAAGTACCTAAACCTGAAATGGTATGTACTGGTTTCTTGTTTACCTAAGTGTTCTAGAGGAATAGTGGAAAAGAAGAGCTATGTTAGAGCAGAGGTTTTATCTCTATCCATGTGCAAGAGGAGGGGTGGGAAAGGACTAGGATTGTTTCAGTTGAGAAGGGAGAGGCCAGATGTGAAAAAAAATGGGTTTTGTACATCTATATAGGCTAATGGTAATTCTCTCTTCTATTAAACCCAAGATACACTAGGGGGTTTCTTTGCCATCTCTTACTCTTTCTTGCTTTTAAATGTTGCAGCTTTCTAAGTTATGTATAGTTGTCATGAATTCCTGTGAGAACTCAACAGTGACTTTTGTGTGTCAAGTCTCTCTGTTATATTGCTAAAATGGATCTCTTACAAAAAAGCCTTTTAGATTTAGTTGTAGGTTTAGTTTAGATTTAGTTTAGGTTTAGTCTTATAGTATTAGACTGGCTAGAGAAACAGACTGCACTCTCACTTTAGCCAAAGGGCTAAAATGGGCAAGATTAAAGTAGGAGACCAAATTACTTACTTCTGTCCATCTTTTACTTTTTTTTTTGTTGTTGTTGCAGTGCTTGATTTAACTAGTGTTTACGTAGTTGGGAGAGAGCATTGTATGAGGCGTGATAGCCACTGTGCTTGTAGAAGGCTGATCACCTGAGAAGTTTCACGAGCTACTTTTAGTGAGGCTAAGCACAGTCTAATACCGTTAAAGCATCCAAAGCTAGAACCATGAAGCTGATCAGTGGTACTGTCTTTGTCCATCTCTGCTGAAATCAGTTCAGGCAATGGTAAGGTTAGCAGCTGTGATGTTGGGTTGTATTTTTATTTTTTTAATTATTTTTCTGAGGACTAAAATAGCTGATCTTAGTCTTCACCACTCTGTACAGTCTCAAGACCTCAGGGAACAGTAACTTGCATAATACACCACCTTTACAGGGACAGAATGGACAGAAGAAATACCAGATCAATCTTAAAAGTAGTTCAGGACCTATCCATGTGCTGCTTATAAATAAAGAATCAAGCTCCTCCAAGCCCATGGTGTTTCCGGTTCCTCCGCCTGATGAAATTGCACAGCCCCCATCTCAACCTGCAGCTCCAGAGGCTCCACTTAAACCTGCTACAGCTCCTCAAAATCCACCAGAACATCATGATCTGAACCAAGGACTGGAGTTACTGCAAACATCAGTTGTGGACACACCATCAGGTGGATCCAGGGTTTTTCCTACCTCCAATGGGTGGGGGAGGAGGGCAACAGGAGGAGAAGAAACTATTAGGAAAGGTGGTAGATAAAGGAAGGATCATGAATTTGCATGGCATAGCAGCTGTCTGCTAAGAAACTACTCCATGGGCTTACTAACAGCTCTCAGGAGGCTACAGAGAAGCCTTTCCTCTTCTGTCTGGTGAAACAGATTCTTCCCTCATAGCTTAGCATCTTATACTGAACAGGTTTTGGATCTTATCCTGTTAATTATTCTAAGGTGCTTCTCCAGAATGCAGTATGGAACGAAATTGCAAACCTCTGACAGAGGATATGATTTGATAATGTACCTTTTAATGAGACTGATAATACAGGCACCAGTTCCAGCTTTTGTGTCATAAGGTCACTCACCTTCTTCCACATAGCCACAGGGAGAAACTGCCTGAATATCGGGTGTTTTTTTCATAGTAATAGTAGGGTAATAGGAAAAGATTTAAGAAGATACCATGAGTATTACAACTGCATTTCTGAGGGGTCCTGATTAACCTTTAATTAATAATTGTGCCTGTGACTCTGGAAAGGGGAGACTCTTCCCACCTGATCCAAGACACTTGCCATGTTCTTCTCAAAAGACAGAGCCAGGTGCTGTGTGTTCCGTTTTACTGTAACAGTCTGTAATGAGCCTTTCTGTCCATGCAGATGACAGTGTGCAGCAGGACAGCACAGCCCCCACAGCCCCCTCTTATTCCAGCCTTCCAGGCCCGGTGCTGTACCCCAGCCTTTCAGGAGATGGTGCCCAAGCCTCAGCCAGCTCCAGTGACTACCAGGGCTTGCTGCCTCTGGATGTCAACTGTATTCTCAAGCCAAATTCATTCGACATTGCAAAGATGGAGGAGCCTACAGGTAGGGAGGAGTAGTTAGTGTTTAAATGTTTTTACTAGTTTCCTGAGCCTTCTTTGTAACCAAGTTACCCGTGAGTTACACAGAGGAAATGACAAGCCTCTGTTTATCTCCTAATGAAGCCACTGAGCCAGGTCTGAGCAGCAAACTCATCCTGAACAAATGAGTTTCTCTGCCACCAAGTAAGCTTTATGTTATGTATGGCTTCAGGTTTGTAAGAGATCAGTGGGAGGAGTGTATCGGGGGGATAAACAGAGGGGCACAAAACCAGATGTATTTTAGACTGCATGAGCCATACTGTATTTTGCTATTCAGTGTTTTAATGGAGAGAATATCTGTTGACTTCTCTAAACATGTATTGAAAAAACCCCACAGATATATAAAGCATGTGCTCCTGTCTTTCACAGGAAATATCAGTGGGGATATTATTGATGAACTCATGTCTTCTGATGGTAAGTATTTTGCATATTTTCTAATAATCACAAATAGCAGCATGGGTTTTGTGTGAACAGCACTTAGAAGGTGTCTGTTAAATTTGATGCCAAGAATCAGTATCAAACTACTTTCCCCTGTGTTGCCTCCTCTGTCATTCTCATCTTTGCTCCCCTTTCTATTCCCTGCAACAGTTTTATTTAACAGTCAAAATATGATAACCTTAATCAAACCAGCACTTACCTGCATGAATAACCCACCAGTCCTTAATCCAGGGACAAAGAAAGAACAACTTGACTAGTGTGCTTCCTTAAAAAACAAAACAAAACAAAAAACCACAAACAAAAAACCACAAACAACAAAAATCCAAAAAGCAACAACAAAAGCCAAACAAATAAACAAAAATATCCTGCAACACCAAAAAAAACCCTGGTTTAATTTGGTTCTGCCTAAGGCTTCCTGCAGGTGCTTTGAGAAAATATTTCAGAACATAGTTACATAGCTGCATGCAGACTGATACATGGCCAGGTGTGGTACACTAACAGAACAAATGTCACCCATTTCTGCTCTTGCACCTCAGTGGCCATGTGAGTGCAGCACTGAACCACAGTTCCCATGATCCCTGCCTCTCTACTCCATTTCACTGAGGTGCCAGGCAAAGAGTTGAACGAACTCAGCTGGTGTTGTTCCTCTTGCCCTGTGCTCTGTAAGCAGCCTGTGCTAATAATCTGCCCTACAAGCAGACAATGTCAGGGCTCATCCAAAAAGACACCTACAATTATAAGATCCAAGGGGCAAGATGAGATTTTTTAGTCAATCTGCCAATATATGGTTAGAATGGAAATAGCTTCCACTTCTAGAGCAGGTAGAGCATGCCCAGCTCATCCACACTAGGTTACAGTTCCTATGGTGCAGCATGAGGCCTGAGGCTTCTCTTCTTGCATTCCCCCACAAAGATAGCTTCAAGTCCATGCTTGAAATAAAGTTCACGTGCAAACTGCTAGTCTTTACTTCCCCTCTGTAAAATAGGGGTAATGGTAAGTTCCAGACTTGTAAATATTTGAAGGCTGATATATGCAAAATTGTAACAAGACAAGGGAATATAAATCATGGCTTCCCGACGAAAGCTTTCAAAACCTGCCCAAGGAGAAATTAAAACCCCTATTCCAAAGCCATCGCTCCAGCAAACTCACTTAAAATACCAAGCAAAAAAATGGTAGATACATCCCTTATTGCCTTAGTTTGAATGTAGTACAGGTGTTCATGGTATGTATCCTACTGTGCTTGTCAGATTATCAAGGCTATTTTAATTATTAAGACTAACCCTGACACTGGTGATGACAAACATACTGAATTATGAGATAGGGTTGATATTCCAAGTGTTTTAATTTAAACTAAACTATTCCTGCTTTACAGTTTTTCCTCTCTTACGACTCTCTCCTACTCCCGGAGATGACTACAACTTTAACCTGGATGATAATGAAGGAGTCTGTGATCTCTTTGATGTGCAGATACTAAATTATTAGATACTGTGTCAACCAGACTACTTATCTACCTCTAACTGTAACATTCTAGGCTTCTTCATAACCTAAGTATTTGAATAATGAATGTATAACTTCTTAGTTCACTGACTCTGGGAGTGTATTTCCTTTTGCTTCCTTTAACTACTTCACAAATTCAAGAACAAGAAAAAAGGGCTCTTACAAAAAATTCTGGCACTTTTTCACTTGAGTGTTCCCTATGTAATCCAGTTATTTGGAACTTTCTTTAGTAAGAAAAATGAAAATACTTTATAGCCTTGTGATAATTTTTAAAAAAAGATTAGGTTTCTTGCTCACAGTTAACAGCATTTTCTTTGAAGCTTTACTACCACGAAGCTTTTTTTAACCTTTCAAACAGTTTTGAAGCTTTCACTGCCAAGTTGAAAAGTGAAGGATGTCAACTTGAGTTATGCTAAATTGTTTCAGTGAACCAATTTTGTGAAGTGCCTTCTGTTTTAGCACTTTAAGTTTCTCACACTGACTTCTGACATTCCACTTTCCTAGATGATAGGAAAGGTCTGTTTGTAGTTTGTATTAAAGTGTGCCAATACTTGTATATTAACAAGATTTTTTTAATAAAATTGTGCAAACAAAGCCATCAGTATTTGTGATCTTTCATTTTTTGCAATCCCTTCATTGTCCATTATGCATTACAACTGAGATAACAGGCTGGTGGCAGCATCCACGTTTGCTGGTTCCTCTTCTAGATTTGTGGAAACCTGAAAAAAAAAAGTTTCAGTTTAAAACAAGAAGCAGCTTCTTTTTACTCTGCTTGAAAAAAGCACAAATTAATAAATAGGCATTGTCTAGAAGATTAGGTTGTCTTTATATATTTAATTTAGGCTAATTTTGCAGTCATAAATCAATAATTCAGGGGGATTACAGGAGTCACTGAACTTTAGAGATAAGCAAACAATGCTTTATGCTGCAGGAGAAAGACCAAGTGTCATGCCAGTAATGTAACATGCATGACCCAACTAAGATAGGCTAAGCTTTTCGTTCAGAACTGCTCTCCACAACAGTTTTGCAGCTTTGGAGAAAATACTGTCACAGCCTGAGTGATCACATTCAGCATTTTGTCATGTACAGCCCTACTAGCACAGGAGCAGTGAAGTCCCAAGTCCTGGCTGCATGCATTAACAAGCCAGCAGGGACAGGGCTGCCAGCACCAACTGCCTTGAAATCCTTGCTCAGCTTTATCCCGTGCTGGCAGCACTGTCACCTCAGCCTCTCCTTAAAGTATTTGACACTTGTTTTGTCGCTTCCAGCCATACAGAAACTTGATCACCTCAGGCACAGCAAGTAATGCTCAACTCCTGTCCACTTCTCCAAACTCCTCCTACTTTCCCCAGCAGCCGAGATGGATTTGCCTGTACCTCATCCTGGCTCCCTGCATTCTTCTCCCTGAAACTCTGCCCAGAGCATCAGAAAGAGTCAGCATAAAGAGTTTATATGGAGAAACTTGTCAGGAGTTAAACTCTGTGAAGTAATTCTTGCACAAGACTGCATGTAGCCCCATGAAAACTAAACTAGACAAAAGAGAGCAAGTGAAACACTGTCTTAAACCCTAAGCACTACAGGCAAAACCTCTCGTACAGAAAATCGCTGTTTCAGGTATTGGTACTTCTGATGAGGGAATATGAAGGCTTAGGAATCAGGAACAGAGAGAGGCAGAGCTGTTTGTTTCAAAGCACTGTCAGGTGCCTCAGGGAATAGCCAGGTTCATCCTTTCTGTGTCTATTCATGTGGAGATGTAAGTCTCAAATCAAGGGGCTGGAGCTAGAATTAACTTTTTTAAAAAAATTAAACCCCAGCTACAATGCAATTTAAAATTATGTTTTGGAAGCTTCAGCTTGGCTGCCCACTCTCTTCTCTCACTACTTTATTGTGTAGCATTTGAACATACCAATCAGATTTCAGCATTACCACACAAATGCAATTAATTAATCTGGGTTTATGGCTTTAAAGCAACTGCATGAATTGCCTGCAGTCTGAGATCCGGAATATAATGCTTTAAACACACACATTCCTTTCATTCTCCTCAGTTTTTCACAAAGGGAAATACCTGATGATTGTTCTGAGGTTCTTCTGTGGTGCCATTCGATAGCTGCTGTACCTCCTTCTGAACTTCAGCAAATGCTTTATTTAATGCTGCAACTTTTTCTGCATTTCTGATGTTTATCTGGGAAAAAATACATTGGTAGTTTTAACAGAAATTCCACTGGCATGTGAAATTGCACCTTTTTTGTGCAACTATATTATACAGCCAGTGTTATATGCATATTTTCCAGCATTGCTTTTCAGTATGCTTATCTGTTAATTATGTCAGCTAGTCATGTACTAATAAATTTAAAATTATGAAAGCAGTCAAACTTGCTCTATTGGAATGAGAGCACAGTGATCCAGAAACAGAACACAGAGAAAAAGCCAGGCTGTGGACAGGCCCTGCTATCCTGCCCTCAGCTCCTCTTAGCTGCACTGGAATTCCAGGAAGGGTTCCTTCCTTCACCTCTCTGGTGGGCTGACCCTGGCTAGATACCCAGTGCCCACCAAAGCTGCTCCATCACTGCCCTCCTCAGCTGTACAGGGGAGAGAAAACAACCAAAGGCTCATGGGTCAAGATAAGGGCAGAGAGAGTTCACTCACCACTTACTGTCATGGGCAAAACTGACTCGACTTGGGGAAAATGAACTTATTGCCTATCAAATCAGAGTAGGGTAATGAGAAGTAAACCCAAGTCTTAAGAATATCTTCCCTCCCTTCTCCCAAGGCTCAACTTCTCTACCTCCTCTGTCCTAGCAGTACAGAGGGATGGGGTCTGCAGACAGTTCATCACACATTGTTGCTTCTTCCTTCTCAGTGGAAGAAGAACTCACACTCTGCCCCTGCTTCAGTGTGGGATCCTTCCCATGGGAGACAATCCTCCACGTATTTCTCCAGCGTGAGTCCTTCCCACAGGCTGCAGTTCTTCCCGAACTGCTCCAGCATGGGTCCCTTCCATGGAGTGCAGTCCTTCAGGAACAGGCTGCTCCAGCACGGATCCCCCGCTGGGTCACAAGCCCTGCCAGCAAACCTGCTCCAGCATGGGCTTCCCACAGTGGCACAGCCTCCTTTTGGCACTCACCTGCTCTGGTGTGGGGGCTGCAGGTGGATATCTGCTCCACCGTGGACCTCCATGGACTGCAAGGCACAGCCAGCCTCACCATGGTCTTCACCACAGGCTGCAGGAGAATCTCTGCTCTGGAGCATGGAGCACCTCCTGCCCCTCCATCTCTGCTGACCTTGGTGCCTGCAGGGCTGCTTCTCTAACATATTCTCACTCCTCTGTTCTGAATGCTGCTGGTATTGCACAGGTGTTCCCCCCCCCCACTTCTTAACAACGTTACCCCAGACACATGGGTATCTATACCAAAAGTTGTCTGAACAGTTATAATAAGCTTGTAGCTATTAAAGAATAAACCTATTTTAACAACTTTTTCCGAGCATCTTCCTATACTGCTTAATGATAACTAAATCGTCGAAGACTTAATGCATTAAAGAATACAGCTTCAAACACAGCGAATAATATTTTACTCCTAATAAGCTACTGAGTTTTCATGAATATGTCTTTTAAACCTGTTTCTTCTTCTATTATACAAAACACTAGACTAAGAGATGTGACACCACCAACATCAGTTTGTTACTTCCAAAGTTTGTTACGTTCCTGTCTGTCTACCAGATTACTTTCTCAAGTGGCTGTAGCTTGCAGGAGGAAATCTGGAAGGGTTTTTTTTTTTAGAACTATATAACTGTTGTCCAGCAGACTGCAACTGCATCTGATGGGAACAATAAGCCACTAACTTTCTACTTTTATTACCGCATGCCTTTCTAGATGGACAGCTGAACTCTCAGCAGAACACATCTCAAGCTGGAGGCAGGATTTGAGGACGAGATACCATATAATGACTAGATGCTACCAATAGGAAAACTCTTGCTGAGATCATCCCCCATCCCTCTTCCCCTGGATTGCTCCCAGCTACATGATCCACTCTCCCTCCTCTGGGCTGTGCTGCTTTCCAGACACAAAAATGACTATTATTTTTGCTTCTTTACTTTTCTATTGCTTTAGTGTTAAATCAGTTCATGGAAGCATCTGCAGAGCATCACAGCCAATGTAAGGTGCAAGCAGGAGGAAAAGAGGAATTAACAGCAAAACATATGGCAGTGTGTGCTCCTAGACCTGTTCACAGGATCTTACTGACACGGTTTTACTCAACAGCTAGTGGATCAGAAAGGGCTTCTCTCTTCCTGGGTCTTCCCCAGTGAAATGCTTCATAATTAAGTTAGTTCAACTCACCAACCTGGCACATAATGCAAAATGCATTTGTAAGTGCTTTTGCTGCTGATTTAGCAAGATGAATCAATCACCTAGTAGGTGACGAGTTCCTGAGCCAGCATCAAGGAGAGCGGTGGCAACAGAGCCGAGAGCCCAGCAAAGGGGGCTGGGATCAGGAACATGATGGAAAAGGAGCACGAGTAGTATCTGTATCCCTTGTAGTACCTGTGCCTGGTGGTTTGCACCAAGCCATTCTGTTAAACCCTACCCTGCATTACACCAGCAGCGACGCTGCAAGCGCAGCCCACGGAACGTGAAGTCACCGAGCTGCTGATGCTCCCTTAGCGTCGCCTTCCCTAGAACACGCCGAGGTCCTACCAGACACTGCCCGAATGACACCCCACAAAAACAACGGCTTGAAGCCTTCCGCGGCTGATGCCTGCAGATTAGTCAAACTCCTCGTGCTTCTCTTTCTGCAGAGATGATGCTATCCACATACACGCCTAATTTTCAGGCGGCGATCGCGTGCTTTGCACTCTGGTGCGCAGAAGCGCAGTGCCCTTAGCGCAGCTCCACTTAATCACTCCCGAGCTCTTCCCCGCGGCAGGAGCGAGCGGTGGGACCGAGCAGGGCTGAGCCCGGAGGTGACGGGACGCGCCTTGCCCTTCGCCTTGGCCTTGAGGGCGCCGCTGCGGGCGATGTGGAACACGCTGGGAGCCTTGGCAGCCCTGGCGCGGCTCTTGCCCATGGCGGCAGCTCCGGCGGGGAGGGACAGAGGGAGGGACGGAGGG